AAGCCGGTACCCGAACTGGACATTGTTGATCTTGCCGTAAACCCATATCCCATAATTATACAAAGTCTCTCTATAATCAACAGTGATCGCCGTCTATCTCAACCAAGAATTCAAAACGGAATTCTCGATTTTCCCGACTTGACAGCCGAGTGAGGTGTCTCGTCTTCATATCTTCGAATTTCTTCAGCCGCTCCTCGCATTGAGCAAATCGCATTTGATTAAGGGTGATCTTGAAGGTGAGAGACTGAAGACATGGGAAGGTTGAGGGGTTGCCGAGAACGTTGTCAAATTTCTTCCATTCTCTGTCAATGAGTCGGAATTTAGCGTAAACGGAAACGGTAACATCGAGAAAGAGTTCTTGAAGACCGGTATTCTTCTGGTAACTCATCTCTTCCAGTTCCTCGATCAGACCAAAAAAAGGATCTTGCATTTCGTTACTAACATAGAAGCAAAGATGCATCGATCTCAGGGTTGCCAACGACTTGAGATCTAGCATTCGAGCTAGATTGCGGTAGGTAGCGGGCGAAGAAGCTGGTTGATGATCATGAACATGTAGAAATTTGCACAGAAGAACAAACACACCTCGACAATAAAACCATTCCAGTTTCCGGACCAAGAGTAAGATATTCTCCAATGTTTTGTAATCGTCTTCGGTTCTAACAGAGCCAACGCGTAGTCTCTTAAGGTGTGAAATATCGATGATTGGAACTGTTTCACTACAGTTGATATCGAGCAAACTTTGCATGGCGTGCGCCGAAGTCAACAAGGACAGCGAGAGTAGACGAGGCGGGGGGCCAAGTTCAGTAAGACTACCCGCAGAAGTAGAGGCGATGTCTAGATCACCAATCTTCAAATCCACCAAGTTCCTACAAGATGAAAGTAGAATGGCTGGCAATCTTGCTTTTCCGTCAAGGCTGAGTTTAACCATGGTGAGCGAGGGCAAGCCGAACAGGTGGATAAGCGCTTGCTGCATGCGTGGGCTTACTGCTTTCCAGCCGCGTTGGGATTTATCGATGAATCTGAAACAACAGATTTTCTTGAGCTGCAACAACGCTTCAGCAATGTCATCAGTTTCATGGGGCGTTCCTAATTCAAAGACCAGTGTCCGGCAATGCGCAGCCAAACTGGTGTTCTGGAGTACTAGTTGTGGAGAATGGTTTTTCCATCCGGCGCGATACTGACTGAAGTCGATGGTCGAAAAGAGATGAGTGCGGCAAGGATGGACAAAAGCTCGACAAGTCAGAGAGCACGCGGAAAGGGTTTCCTTGTTTATTCTTTTATATCCACTGTCTTTCGCCACCTCTTCTATGATGGTCTCCAGAATATCGTAAGGGAGCGTTTCAATCATGGATAGTGTGGGATCAGTCATGCGTCGCGTTTTGAAAGATTGAATGGTTTGGTATCTTGGAATTAAGCGTCAGGGGATGTGCAAGTGCAATTCGAGCGTGTGGTCAGTTCAAACAGCGCTAGTTATATCTGTCTACTGGCAATGCTCAGTTTGGAAAGGACGCATGCTGTGCATCTATCGCCCGAACAAGCCGTGAAACAACCTGCAAGGTCAACAGTTGGTCGCAAGACAAGTTGGTCGACAGTATGAGTGCGTTATTAGCTAGTCACTCAACAGCGCTGGTGATGTTCTCAAGATATTTTGTCTGCTGACAATGCTGAGATTGAAAAGCTTTGCCTAGTTGTGTGTATCAAGGCATGGCTGTGCACGGACTTGGAATTGACTTGGAACCGACACTCCTTTTTTTAGCAGGCCGGCCGACCTCGGGCCGGCTAATCTCCGAGTTCGGCTAGGTAAGATCGGCCAAGCCTCCCTTTGTAGTTGATATAGATCAATGACATTCACACAGACAAGGATTGTTGGCCAATTATTCTGCTGACAGGCCATCCCGTTTGTAAATCAAAGGTTTTCAGTCCGGATTGTTGCACGTCTTTGGCACGTCTTGCTACCAATTAGGTTCGACCGACAAATGACTATCAGCCGAAAGCTGGCAAGGAGTGGCATTCCAACTCGCGTTGTCATCACCCACATGTCCTCGACATTCGCTACTTCCTCTCCTTCTGGCATCTCGCTTTCCACAAGCTTTCCAATTCCACAAATGCACGGCGAAAAAACTGGAAATATTTGTACCCTGCAGCATCAGTGCGACAAGGAGGGGTTGTTGCATACACTTGAATTTCCGACTCAAAGTCAGGGAATTCCATGGTTGTACGAAGGTACTTCCTTGGTACTTCCGCTCATACATCTCGCTTCAACGAATGATTGCTAAAGTCTCTCCGCTGTCGTCTGAGAAAACCGTGTAAATCGGATGAACACTTGTACGAGCATTTATTGTTGCCTCAGATTAAGACGCAGATTTGAATCATTATATCCCGTCAAGGCGGCTCCAGGCAATCAAGTTTTGTGGTATTCCGTTGAGCAGAAGTTGAGCATGAGGTTCAATTGGTCATGATATCTATCTCACCTTGAGATTCTGATGAAGCTTGTAACTCCTCCTCGGACGTCCCGTTGAGTATTTGTTCTGATAAGAATTACATCAATCGCGCGACTCGCATGATCTGAGAAGAAGTTCGAGTTATTGTACCTTCATGGAGAAATTCCCTGTATCTTGTGATTTCTTCCCCCAACGATATCACGTCCTCTTGCGACGACCCTTCACCCGGTTCAATGGTCTAGTGGTTATGATTTCTGTCTCACATTGAGACTCAGCTGAAGCTTGTCTTCGGTGCACAGAAGGTCTCCAGTTCGATCCTGGATTGAACCATTTTTTGCAACCCGACCGATGTAAGTACCCTCTCTGAACGGCGCGCTAGATGTATCCTTTGCGATGAGCACTCTTTTCTGTCACCATACTTTATGTACTTGCGATCGGACACCAGGTTCTTCTGACTCCTGACAACGATAACGAGTTCGATGTATGGCTTTTATCGTAAATCGACGGTTAACTTGACCTAACCGCCTGCCAATAATCTCGATCCGGCCTTTCAATGACCCTGACGTCTCTCCCTGGGCTTCAAGTCATGGCACGTTTTGGAGGGGTTATATGACTGTAGCCTCTGTCGCGCCAACGAATCAATCTTCCGTTGTCGTTTCCCTATTCTCGGGAGTGCTTGATAGCAGCCACGCAGCAGGAGCCATTTCGGGACGTTTATCCTACCACTCCAGCGTGGTGAGTACCATACTTTGCTTTTTCTATTGGGTTGCTTTATTCACAGTGAATTTAGTTCACAATCATGGCCACCATCCCTCAGCTTCCAGCGGAAACTCTTGAAGAGATCATTGATCACCTACACGACGACCGCCTCTCCTTGCTAGCCTGTAGTTTTGCCTCCTCAAAACTCATCGCCGCTTGCCGTTATCATCTCTTCTCTGAAGTCGCCTTGAAGTCACCAGAGGACATGGATTCTTTGCTACAGCTCCTCGATGTGGAGTGGGGTACTGTTGCGGTATTCATTTCCCGGCTGATCATCAAGAACGGAAATGCCAACAGATCGCGATGTTCAACACCTTCACCATCGCCGTTGTCGACCAAAACTTACACTATCCGCGACCCTACGTCCCTCGTCGCGAAGCTCAGCGGTGTTTTCACAATCCGCTTCGTCAACCTGTCTTTCGCAGGCATCCCGGCTCACTTCTGGTCGTTGCTGAATACAATGAAGAGTATCAGGGCAGTAGAAGCAAGTCAAATGATGTTCAATGCGCACTTCTTCGGTTTTGTGTGTCGATTGCCTATGCTCGAAACTTTGTCTATATTGCAGTGTCCGTGGGATCAAGCACCCAACTCTCCCTCAATAGAGGCGGACGGTGTTTCTAAACTACTGCTCCCAAGGCGGGATGCTGACCTACCCACAGTCTACTTCCCAATCCTCGATGCTGGGATGGCTTACGATGTGCAGGACTTTACGGACATGAGCATGGTTTTCAAGTGGATGTTGACACAATGCCCGGTTCCTCTTGTGCGCACCCTCCGAGTAGCGCTTGACTGTGGCCCATGTATGCTAGACTCAATCAAAAGGTACCTTGAGATTGCTGGTGACATGATACAGGAATTGCATATTGTTTTGCCAACTTCATTTGTTGGTGAGCGTGGTTTCAATGCTGTATACTAAATCTGTTTTCTTACATTATCTTCAATCAGCCCTTCGAAACATGGATACTACAATTGACTTCAGCTCCTGCATTAACCTGCGGGCTGTACACATCGAAGGGCTGAACATAACTCACCAAACCAGCACCCTCGGGGTGGGAAACGTAGATGTATTCTTCCAGACTTTATTTCTCCAACTCTTTTCACCGCCTCATCCGCTACTCCGGAAAATCACCATTTCACTTGATCTGGATTTCAAACATAACGCTTACTCGTTCTTTGGCATCCCGGATTACGTCGCTCTCCAGGCCTTCAGTTGGTGCTCCCTACCCCGTGTCCTCGAGGAGACGTTGCAGAGCTTGCCTGGAGGCCCGGAGCGCATGCATGTAGGGATAAAGATCTGCGGAAAGATAGCCGCGAAGGATAGGGATATAGAAAGGATGTGCATTGAGGAGAACCTGAAGGGGGGCTTGTGGAGGGGCTTCAGTGAGCGCGACTCACTGGATGTGGAATTTCTTAGGCATGCACTCGCTCTGGATTTAGATAATTAATGTTCCGGCTGAACAGTGACCTAGACCTTTTAGAAGTTGTAGAATGTTCAATGGATAGCGGTCAAAGCGCATCAAGACTTACACATTTTACTCAACGCACAGAGTTGTATGGAAAAAACACAGACTCTATTTGACAGGCTTATCGAGAACAAAATATGAGAACAGACATGTGTAGCACTATGAATTTTGCACACACTTAAATGATAGTTTAGGTGTACATTCCAAGAGGTACATTGTCACCGCACCTATTTTACTCCCCCGAAATAGTTAGTTAGGTTTGTTGCAAGCAAACCACGGCGACGAAAAATAATAACAACTATTTGTGCGAGTACTTAATGAAAAAAGTGATCAAAAAGGGCCTCACTGGGAATTGAACCCAGGACCTCTTCCAATTGTGGACACTAAGGAATACCCAAAGGAAGAATCATGCTACTAGACCATAAGGCCATGAGTATTGGGCTTAATGCAATGTATATACCACCTTTGCGCGTTAAATTGACTGGCATTCTGGTCGATTCATGCTAACGGAAAATCGTTACGACCGCCGACAAATGATCGACCGCTTGAGAGCCATATCTTGGCCTTATCGTCCTTCAATGTTCATCGATAATAGATAGAGTGGCGCAAGCAATGAGTTACAGACCATGGTTTGAACAAACCCGCATATCTATCTATGTACATTCAAATGTTACAGAAATAGACAAGAGAGCACGCAGCACCGAGGAGATTAGATATACATGAAGAATGAGAAGATGGCGAGTGGATTATGTACGCGTAAATATGAACTCGAAAGGGCAGATTGTTAGGGTAGACTAGAACGCAGAGAGTAGGTTCGATAACAATATGTAACGGTGGGGTTGGTGTGGTGTATAAGAGTCATGGTGAAGAATTGAGGATGGTAAATAGACATGCCAAGAATGAGGTTGAGATGGGGATGGGTGGATATGCAAGAACGAGTCCGGGGAATGAGGATGCTGGAGATGATTGGGAGATGAGTCTGGGTTTGGAATGGATGTATTAAGATGGTGGTGGAAGAAGCCAGAACGGTTGAAGACTCCCTAGAAACCAAGAACAAGATGGGCCAAAAGAAGGCGGTAGAAGGTCGAAGATGTAGAAAGATTTGGGATAAGATCAAGGATGTAGAATGGCGCAAGAGAAGCGATTGTCATCAATTGAGGGAGGGAGAATAAGGTCGGCCAAGAAATAATATCCGACATTTTGATAACAGTGAACAGCCGGTGGGGTGACGAGGTAAAGTGAGTATGATTTGGAGATCAGAGAACCTTGTAACGATACCGAGTCAAATTAAGAAAGCTGATCACACAGAGGATGAGTGAGTTGGGACGGTTTGTGATTCTTGAAGTCTTGATTCTTGAGGATCCGACAAAAAGGTCGAATGAAGATCTTGAATATAATCTTGAGGGACACAATCTTGAAGAAGTCTTGAATGCCAACTCTCAAGCGTCGAGCGAACTGATCACACCTCACAACAAGCACACCTCATCACACACACTGGAAAGCCTCATCCTCGCACGGGCACCACCTGCTCATCGTCCATGTTAAATGGCTTCCCGCAATATATTCTCAAACTGAGAACGCCGTCTTCCATGGAAGCGTCTACGTCTTCGATCTGTAGGATGTTGGAGGTGCGATGGAGGTGCAGAGGCAGATGATATGGCAGCAAGGGCGAATACCATATAGTCATCGCGAGTGCAGTGGCAGTTGCGGTTTGCGATGCGATGCGTCATTGTATATGGCGAGTGTGTTGGATTTTTTTGCAGTTGCGTTTACATTCGTCCGAGGTGGAGGTACAAGGGGGGATAGCATTGCACCGTCGCATCAAGAACAAAGTAGGCAATTTGATAGCAAAAAACAAGAACACAAGAACACCAATTGCCCAATAGTCAATCGCAAAGCGTGCCAATGGAGCAAGCAACACCACCGAATTCGCATGCGCGCAGTGCGTTGAGGGAAGGAAGGATGGGGGAAGAAAAAAAAAAGCACGACAATCAAAAACTCACGATTTTCACAAAGAGAGAGAGAGAGAAAGAGAGAGGAAGGAAGAGAAAACGACGTCGATTTGATTTTATCTCTTTTGTGTATGGGAGGGGGTGGGGGATGATGGAAGGAACGGGACGCACCTTAGTATGCGAAGGTACCTGGATAACCCTCCTCATCATTCCGAAATGTCGTTCCCGAAGAACTGGATTGACGATCCTGCTGGCTGTGCTGCTTTGATCTCCTCCGACCCCGCCCGCTCGGGCAGGATACATGACCACTGGCGGTTCGAACACCGGGGCGTTCTCCGCTTCAACCGACACGAATTTGATGTGGTTGAAGTAGCATGTCGCGAGCTTGACGTGGACGTTGTGTTTCTTGACACCGGGGAGCTCGAGGGAAGCGAAGAGGGTGTGAGAGTCTTCAGAGTAGTGCATGTCCGAGAGGATGGGAAGGGGCCGCCGAGGTATGCGAGCCTCTCTTTTGGGAGCTTGGGATGACGATTCGGCTGGCTCAGTGTGGGCTTGAGGGTTGTCATATGTATATGTTTGAGGTGGTGGAGGTGCCTGTTGAGGGGATGTCTTGAACGGAGAGTTGAGATTGGAAAAGCCAGAAGTTCCAGGCAAACTATATTCGAAGAACTTCGATAAATGGTAGCACCATGGGATGAAGAAGGTACGCACCCAGTACCGGTACCACCGAAAGTGGGGAACCTTGAAGCAGGAGAAGGAATAGCAGGCGATGGCATTGCCGGTTTGGACGTTGCTCTGGTTGTCGGTTTACCAGCGAATCTTACGGCAGGCTTTTTGGGAGGTTGTTGTCTAGTCAAAGGAGCAGCTGATGAGGGACCGGGAACCTCGAGGCCCATGTAGGACGTTGCTGTGTTTGTGACAGATGGTCTGTAGTAGGGTGCGTGCAGCTGAGCGCGCTCACTGCGCGAGGCCGAGCGGATAGCTCCGGTAGACTTGCTCGGACCCGCAGCTGGGTTAGGTGTAGGAGGTGCTGTACTTTGTGGACGAAAGAGTAGCTCGTCAAGAGGGCTGAGCGGGAGATGAGAAACTGAGCCGGGGCGGCTAATGTGGCCATAACTATCTACTGAGGCATGTCGTTGCTGTTGCTGTTGATGATGCTGTTGATGTTGTTGCTGTTGATGTTGATGCGGTTGATGAAGCGCGTGAGGGTGATGGAGTGTAATCGGGGTATCATCCACGGGAGAAACATGACTAGGCACGATGTGAGGCGGATCGTCAAGCTCCAGATGGACAGAGTGAAACGACGAGGGTGTGGGCGTTGTCTCCAGCGGAGAGTGCATATCTTGCTGTTGCTGCTGCTGCTGTTGCTGCTGTTCAGGCTGTTCAAGCGTTTCCCACTGCGGGAAACCCGAGTCATCAGAGGGTCCGGTGAACATCTCACTGTCAGTGCTGGTCGAAAACGGTGGCTGATTATAGGGAAAAGACATGAAGGCGAGCATTCATCTTGTCGAGAAGAGAAGGGAAAAAAACACGTCAGTCCGATTCACAGTTTATATACGCGCGGGGTAACGGCATCAATATCTGACTCACGCGTACTCGACCGCTGCCGTCACCTGAACAATGGCGGGGGCAAACAATGGGCATGAGGCTGATGGGACCCGAGCCACTCTTTGATGCCGCCAATCACAACCCGCCATCACCCCGCCCATTCCGGGGTCCGGTGACGCCGCACAGCCACAGTCGGTATCACGTGAGACTAATTAGCCGGATTTGGGCAACTCCGTATGATGGCCTGGAGACGGAGCATGTGTGTGAGGGCGGGCTTCCTTTCCGAAGATAAGAAGGGATTATATTGAGTACGGACTGGATTATAGAGTAACAAGTGCTAGCTAGATACAAGCAACGAGAGGCATAAGCATTTAAAGATTAACAAGAAGAGCAAGAAAAATGACTTTATTTGATTTGTATTGACTTGACCTCCACCCGACGCGACGCAATTGCGGTGCAGGTTCACCGTGACTTGGCGGGCGCTGTTTCCGAGTCAAGGGTCCCCACTGTTGACACCTCCTCCAGCTCCATCCCGACCACTGAATCCTCCGCCTCATCAACGGTCTCCGGCATTTGCCCATGGCTGGTATGGCTATGACTCCCGGCGCGACTCCGCCGTCCTAACAAGGTCCCCGTTTCTGCCACCCTGCCACCGACACCACGGTCAAAGCTCGCCCTCCGACTCCCTGCTCCACCAATGTTCCTCAAGCTCCCAGTTTCTGCGACCCTGCTGCGATCAATGCTTCCCCTCCTCGTGATACCGACGTTCCCATTAGCGGCGGCATTCGAGTTCCTCCGGCTCAAAGGTTCTACCGGCGACATTGAATGGTCCCTCCCTTGAAACATTCCCACAGTTGGACTGCCAAATGAGGATGAAAGCGAAGGAGGAGGTACACTAGGGTATGAAAGACCTCTTGAAGACGTGGAAAATGAATACCCCATCCCCATGCCCCCATTGTTGTTGAAGGACCCGGAAGATGGCGGGCTAGTTATATTCGTTGATACGCTTACGAAGCTAGCTGGATTAGCGAAGGACGGCGAGGTGGATGACGAAGCCACAGGCGAGAAGGGGTACAACGAGTCGGCGGATGCGGACGAGGGCGAATGCGAGAGCGGCGTATTAGATTCTGACGAGATGTTATTCTTTGGCCGGTGGATTTGGGAAGGAGGACGAGGGATAGGAACACCATGGGTTTGCGAGTGTGTGTTGTGCGTATTATGTGAGGCGTGATTTGCATGCGAGAACGTCGGGATATGATGTCGCGGAACATAGGAAGAAGACGGGATATGGAATACGGATGTATTTGTATTGGGTGACGAGGTGTTGGAGTAGAAGGATTGCCCCGAGGATGCAGACGACGAGCGTCGGTGTGTGGGTTGCGAATAAGGGTCTGATGAACTCATGCCTATCAGATTATCCACCGATAGACCCAACTGCATAAATCAAGGGTTTAAGTCAGTACGAGCTTATGAAACAAGGGACGTTCACTGACCCTTCTCCGGTGGTCAATCAGTTCTTCCCTATAAATCTCATTCAACCTTGATATTCTGATGTAATCCCGCTCGGTGTCAACGAGCCTATTCCGCAATTGCTCGTTTTCTCTCCTCATGGCCTCGAGCATGATCTCAGCAGTGGGTTCTCGGGGATCCAACCTCGACTGTGCAGGCGACATGAATGCTCTGAACCCTAGGCGGGTGTCGGGAGATACGCTGGGACTCGCGCCGTTGGAAGTGGATGGCCCGGGCACATGCATTGGTTGCTGCGATTGCGACTGTGCTTGGGACTGCTGTTGGGCTTGGAGCTGTTGATGGGCCGACCTAAGCGCTGAGAGTTCTCTTGATAGCCTGTTCACATGGGCTTCCGACTCGGCTTCATGGGTGTTTTCCAATTCGATTTTGTCCTCTCGAAGCTAATGTGGAGAACGGAAGAATGAAAGAAACCGGGAAACAGAAGTCAATAAGATTATTGAATCAAAGCTGTCATAAGCATAAGTGAAAGCGACCAGGAAAACGTTTTGCTGCACGAGACAAAAGCACGATGTACATGGTCGTGAAGGCGCCTTGTGCATCCAGCTGAAACCAAAGCAAAACCAGAAGACTTGCTTACCTTCTCCAATTTCCTCGAAAGCACATTGATAATCCTCTCTTCCTCCGCCTCATAAGCATTGATCAACTCCTCCTGATGCCGAGCTGCGCTAAAGTTCGGAATCGGAAGTGATGAGTTATTGCTCAGACTGTAACCAGAGCTCCCATGGGATAAGCGATGTATGGGAGGCGAGAACGACATGGCAAGCGTCGGTTTGGGGTGTTAAGCACGTAAATTGATTCGCAGGAAGTCTTGCTCCTTGGGATATTGATATCGAGTCAGATGCTTTGTGGAGGGCAGGTGTTTGGCAAGAACTTGACAGTATGTATCAACCCTTGTTGGGTTATCGAGATAACGCACGGTCTACGAAACGCCAAATATACCGCTTGAGAGACAAGGTATGGAGAATGCGTGAATGAAAGGGGTGGTGGCGAGAGTCAGGAGCATGCAAGCGTCGAGAGGTGGCCCAACCTTGTGTGCCATTTGATCAGAATCATCCCATTGGCCTTGTATGGCAATTCCTGCCCGATATCCGACTGACAACCGACTGAGTAACCGTATAACCATGAGCCTGTCATCTTGAACTCCCCAGCCATGACATCGCCGGTTTCCCTGAACTTCGATTGAAATTACACTAAACTCAAAAGCGATTTATTCAACACCTCATGTTTTCCTATCAAAGAATACTTCATTCGTGTTCTGGTATCTTCATTCTTGTTCCGCGACAATGCCTATAAGATTGCTCACAATAGGCCGGACATCTTCTCATCGCATGCAAGGCTCTATACCAATTCCGGTGGTGTATGCTTGACTCTGACCTCAAGACGGAATATCAGCCGCCTTGACACAATTAGCATGATTCCAGGTGCTCAATCAAACCTGAACCTTCGACGACACCGGACCGATGGGTTCAAAAGTTCCCATACACGCCTGGGTACCCAGTACTAACATGCGTTCGAGACATTCAGTGTAGGCCATCAACATAGAAGACATCTTATCGGCGGTCTGAATTGAATTACCGCCTCCTTATAATCTCACCAGGTCTGGTCGAGCGCTTTCACCCCCTTTGGACTACTTGGCCCGGCAGGATCTTGGGCTTGCAATCCGTCCTCATAGTTGAATCAAACGCAAGGTAACACGGCCTTTCTTTCAACAGAAATAACCCTGTTATCCTGAACTCATACGTTGTCAGACTTGACGTTCCCTGCCCCATTCAAGTTGCGGAGCGATAATTTCATAATGGAGGATCCCTTCAGTTACTCGCAATCTAAAAATCCGCCTCACGACATACGACTCAGTCGTACTTCCCTCCAGGAGTTGTGTGGCGCACAAATGCAGCTATCTCGGCTGGTATAGACTCAACGGGGTTTCCGATACCTGGAGGTCTGAAATGCCTGGACTACATGGGATTGAAAAGCGCTACTGCAGAGTACATGCTGTCTACCATACTAAGCGAGCATTCTATTTAGTCCTCCGAAAAAACAGACCACATCTTTGAAATGCATGCATACAAAGTACTCAGCCAAAAGTGAATCTAGGTTCTGACAGGGAGACTTACAACCCTTGGCTCGATTACATCAACAAGGCAAGTCCCCAGATCGTTATTACGAATCCTTGTGTGGCGCATCAGCATCAATCAAATGTCCTGCCCTCAATGCCTACTTATGCACCATGTTTGTATCGTCAGGACTTGGGTCTAGATCTTGAGCCACGATTGTGGAATGTGTTCGTCAACCTCTTTTTGTGCAACGGATACCACTGGAACTCGACAGTCGCCATCCCTCAGAAGCCGGCAGTATGATGGCGTCAATATTGACCTCGCGTCCATGATGTTCTGCGCCTCAGTGAATGGTCGGAAAACAAGCACTGTACACGTAGCTTTCTGTGAAGGTTCATCAACAGAGTGAGCCCGGTTTGGTTCAATCAGCCTCAGATCTTTCTTTTCTGTGGACAATGGTCGCCAAATACAAGTGAGGTGTTTAGTCTACCGACTAGAGCCCTCCTTGGACATCTCTTTTTGACGGAGAGATTTGACCATCTAAGCTTTTGATCAGGAAATAAATACATCAATGGCGCGACCATCGCTAAATAATAAGAACTGAGAAGAACTGACTTCAAGTTCGTAAAGGCGAAATGGACTACCAAAGTCGCATGATCGAATACTCAAAATGGAATTCCCGATTTTCCCGACCTGACAGCCGAGTGAGCTGTCTCGTCGTCATTTCTTTGAATTTCTCCAAATGCTCCTCGCATTGAGCGTTCAACTCGTAGATTACCCCCAAGGTGACCCTGAAGGCAAGAGAACGAAGACATGGGAAAGCTGATGGGTCGCCGAGAATGTCATCCAATTTCTTCCATTCTCTGGCAATGAGTCGGCAATTGGTTTCACAATCAATGGTAAGATCGAGAAGGAGTTCTTGAAGACCGGTGTTATTATGGTGACTCATCTCTTCCAGTTCCTCGATCAGACCAGAGAAAGGATCTTGCTCCTCGTTTTCAATCCAGAAGCGAAAACGCATCGATCTCAGGGTTGTTAAAGACCTAAGATCTAGCATTCGAGCTACATTGCGGAAGGTAGCGGGCAGAAAAACTGGTTGATGTTCATGAACGTGTAGAATTTTGCACAGCAAAACAGAAACACCTTCACAATCAAACCATTCAAGTTTCCGGACCAAGAGTAGGATTCTTTCCAATGTTTTGTAATCGTGTTCGGTTGTACAAGTGAAGACGGTTAGTCTCCGAAGGTGTGTAATTCGATGATTGCGACTGTTTCGCTATGCCTTGAATCGAGCAAACTTTCCATGGTGGGTGCGAAAGAGGCACCCAAGTCACCGTCCAAGTGAAGCGAGAGTAGACGAGGCGGGGGGCCGAAATCAGTAAGACAACCCGCGGAAGTAAAGACAATGTTGGGCGAATCAATCTTTAAATCCACCAAGTTCCTACAAGATGAAAGTAGAATGGCTGGCAACCTTGCTTCTCCGTAAAGGTTGATTTCAACTTTGGTGAGCGAGGGCAAGCCAAACAGGTAGATAACCGTTTGCTGCATGCGTGGGCTTGATGCATTCCAGCCGTGGGGGGGACGACCAGACAATTTGAAAGAACGAATTTTCTTGAGCTGCAACAACGCTTCAGCAATGTCATCAGTTTCATGGGTTGTTCCTAATTCATAGACCAGCGTTCGGCAATGAGCAGCCAAACTGGTATTCTGGAGTATCAGTTGTGGAGAATGGTATCTCCATCCGGCGTGATACCGACTGAAGTCGATGGTCGAAAAGAGATGAGTGCGGCAATGATGGAGAAAAGCTCGACAAGTCAGAGAGCACGCGGAAAGGGTTTCCTTATTTATTCTTCTATATCCACTGTCTTCCGCCAACTCCTGTATGATGGTCTCCAGAATATCGTAAGGGAGCGTTTCAATCATGGATTGTGTTGGATGAGTGCGGAGTTAGCTAGTCACTCGAACAGCGCTAATGATAATCTGCCCGCTGCCTCAGTTTGGGAATAACATGTTATTAATAACAGCTTGGTTGTTTGTTTGTTGTGGTATCAAAGCATGCTATCAGAGGGGGCTTGATCGTGATAAGGCTCTCGCGCAGTCTTGCGCCCGTGTTAGTCGTTCAGAGAGTGGCGCAATCGAAAGCTTGACCACGCACACACATCTTGCGGACGATTTCGGCGAAAAAAAATGGAAATAGTCAGAAGGTGCAAGCTTTGTCCCCGGCAGCATCAGTGCGACAAGAGGGGTCGTTGCATACACTTCTCAAAGTCAGTGGATTCCATGGTTCGTGTACGAAGGTACTTACTTGGTACTTCCACTCATACATCTCGCTTCAATGAAGGATTGCTAAGGCCCCTCCGCTTTCGTCTGAGAAAACCGCATGAACCGGATGAACAGCCATCATGCTTGCACGAGCATTTACGATTGCCTCAGTAGACAGATTGAGACACTGACTTGAATCATAGTATTCTATCAGCACAAATTTTACGCGGCTCCAGGCATCTGTGTCTTTGTGGTATTCGAACGAAAGTTGGGCATAAGGTTTATTGGTCTGATGTTACGGCTTCAAGTTTGTCAAGCACTGGCCATTGGAATTACAACTCTACGCACAAGGAATCCTCCGGCATCCACCCTTCACACGGTTCAATGGTCTAGTGGTTATGATTTCTGTCTCACATTGAGACTCTGCTGAAGCTTGTCTTCGGTGCACAGAAGGTCTCCAGTTCGATCCTGGATTGAACCAATTTTTGTTGCATCGCAAGGGTTGTTTGTCTCCGTGAAATTACACTAATCAAGATTGCTTGCAGACTCGGGTTGGTTATTTTTTCTCCCTACGACATTGGAGATCAATCTTCGTTTGATTAGATTAATGAATACCACAAGTACTATAACGGCAGACCGATGCTGCCATATTAGTACGTATGGAGTTTCTGGGGTATACGTATGTACTATATACTGCATCGTCATAAGTATCGTATGTGTGCCTCTCTGTACGGTATGGATCGATGGGAGGGAGGTAACGTAAGAAAAGAGGAAATGAGATGAGAAAGAGTTTTTGAGACGATCCACCACCACACGGCACCGAGCGAAGGCACCCCTTCCCACATACTCACTTACATGGTCTATAGTAGTTGTTTGTTGTACAGCCTAAAGCGTTACACGAGTAACGACATCCAAAGTCCATGAAAGACAAGAAAGAGAGTAGAAGAATAATCAAGGCAGGAAGGGAGTCAGTCGGGAAGGGACGGGCAAATCCACAGCGGACGATATCCCACAAATGGCAGAAAATGCAACCCTCATATCCCCTACGACCTCGGCGTTATCCGCACGTCGGTCAACGACGAATTAGGCACTGGGGAATGGCTATGGCTGCGCGATGACCCCAGCGACGGTGGTGTCGGATGCGTCCTTGTCTTGCCCTTCTTCAACAGCGTCCTCCTATCCGCATCCTCCCCATCTTCCGCATCCTCTGCCCATTCATCCACCTCCCTCACCTGATGCAAGTCTGTCACGCTCTGCTGCTTCCGATGCTGGCTGAGATTGGACGCCACAGACGGCGGCATCCCACCATTCTCTCCTTCCGGCTCTTCGAAAGCGTTGAACAGCGTTGTGGTCTGCGAACGGTATATCGAGCTTTGTCTGCCATGTCTCCCAGTGCGACCATTAACGCTGCCCATATGCACGTCCATTCCACCTCGGTCTCCTGAACCGTTCCAACCGTCCAGTGACATGCGTCCTTGGAGGCTTAGGCGTGGGTTCATTAGGCCGCCGGCGAGCGTTGAGTGGGAGTGGGCTTGTCCGTTGGGGTGGTCTAGGGGCGGATCGGGTTGGCGAGAGAGGTTAAGAAGGTGTACGCCAAGGAACGTAACGACGAAGCCAGCGAGGAGGGAGAGGATGTTCGTGTAGTCTTGTGTGTTGAACCCTTGGAAGAGGATTAAAGAGGCTACGATAGTTGCCGTGGAGAACCCGACATAGTACATCGGATTGACGCTAGATGATGCAAAGATGACACTTAGTACAGTCCAAAGTAACGCGATTATGCGGAAAGGCGAAACGTACACATTGGTCGAGAAGGTGTCCAACGCCTTATTGAAGTAGTTCATCTGCACCAGAATACACAATGCCACTATGATACCAAACACGTATGTGCTCGGATATGTGAATTGGTTGTTGCCCTCGATTGTCAGTTTTACGGCGACGCCGAAACCTTTGATAGCCATGACGGATACAGATCCAACGAGAGAGCAAATGGAGATGTAAACGAGCGGGTTTGAGCGCCCATGTTTGGGTACAACGGAGTAGATCATGAAAAGTGTGAAAACGAGGACCGTCAAGCAGTACATCAGGAAACCTGGTGATGTGCGAGGTAAGCAAAGGGAAACACATGGAATATGTGGGTAATCGAACCTGGTTGCATAGCAAAGTGCAGAATCTCGTCCACATTCACGATCGGCTTGTCCTCTGGGGCGTGCAAGACAATGATAAGAGAGCCCAATAGACACAACGCGCATCCTAGTCGTCCCAGATGTCCCAATTCTTCGTTGAGCAGGAAGGATGCTAGCACAGCTCTGCAAGAAAACGATAAGCAGATATTTAGCAACGAATTGGACAAAGGCTGAACGACCGGTCTGGTGCACTTACCCGATCAACACACTGAGAGCACCCAATGGGGTCACTAGTATTGGGGGAGCGAAGGTATACGCGGCGAAATTAGCGACTATGGGCGCAGCGTAACATGGTTGTTCGTTAGTCGTTACCAGTGAAAGCGGACAAGATGCAAGCTTACTTTCGCCGAGTACCACTGAATTCCACATGCGCGATAGCAAGATGTTTGTTAGACACAGAACTTATGGAAGAAAGGAATTGACGCACGAGTCGATATGCCAGCCCACCAGATTGGATTCTTCATATACGCCATGTTATCCGTCGCCTGTGCGCCATACGCCGAGTTCAATGCAGCGTCATTCAGGCCCTAAAGAAATGGAAGAAAACAGTGACAGAGAACATTAAAACCCGGAAAGACTTCGAAAAGCAGAAGAGGACCTTTTTCGTGATGATGAAACTGGTTCCGATGGCGATAGAGCTCGAAACTGCTAGTAGCAGTCCAATGTATTTATCCTCCATGTCGATGACCAGTGAGATGTATGACCGTGAATGATGGATTCGTTTACAGGTGAGAGAAGGGGGAAGCCAGCCAGCGAAAGGAACGGAGGAATAAAAAAAAAGAGGTGTTGCGGAAGGGGCGATGTGTGCTGGATGAGAATAATGGCAGGCACTGCATTCTGGCAGGTTCGCAGCAGTGTTTGGGTCACGTGCCTAGATCCCCAATGCAAATCTGCACTTTCCTTCAGTGTCTTTTCTACAACTGAGAATTGTCTTGATCCCCTCGTCGTCTTTCAGAACCACCATCTCCTCTCCTGACTGAGCAAACCAGCTGCACTCACATTGTTTATTTTGCTTTTGCCAATGCCAAATGCCCAGCCATGTCCAGCACACATCTTCACAGAAAAACCCTTTCAACAAAGTATGTCTGGTTTTGTTCTGGCTAATTATCTATTTTATCAGAATTTTAAGCCATGCTGTTATATTTACAATCTGGATATGACAGTAGGCCCCCAGAAGCTCCACACAAAGCTTGTCAAAAGATTTGCGGATTTTAGAGGCAAGATTGGCCAAATCCTTGTCCGGAATGTGTGGATTTCAGACAAACTCTAAGTGCTGCAGGCCAAACTTTGTCCAAAAATGTGTGGATTTGAGCCAATTGTGCTCATCTGCCCTTGTGCCGTGTGGGGTATTGGGCTGCCGCTAGACCAGTTATAGGATGTTGCCCACACTATCTGCCTGGCGGCGTCTTGATGGAGAATATTTCATCCAGCTTGAACACAGTGCATTATTACAACCACAATGCCAACACTTAAGATCTGCATTCCTGGTGGTAGAGCCCCTTTGCACACTAAATAGTATAATCATACCTATAGTCAACAATATACCTATTCCTATTTGTTTAAAAATATGTGAATGATCAAAAGAGTTTTGAATGGTTGGTGGAGCACCGCTACACAATTGCCTGGGATGTGTGACATCAAAGAAATGTCTTCTCCTCCTGCACATCTGTGCGCACCTGTGGAATTTATTTTTCAATGTGCAACAGGCGGTAAAGCTTGACTTTTACTTTTTGGTCCTTCTTTTGAATCAAAGTACATATGAGAATCTTGTTGAATTTGTGTGTGATGGATTGGTGATGGATGTTAGTACAGCATTTTTGGGCTGGCCAAAGTGTGCATGTCGTGTGAATGTCTTGTACCCAACTCATCTTCATAGTGTCAATAGTGATGATGAATAGTTGTATTGTAGAACATAATTCAGGCAATATTTTACCCTTGGGAGCACTCAAGTTAGTTCATATGTCACCTTGACAATGGGATCAGCAAGCCATTACTCAAGGGCATCAACAACTAAAAAATTGATTGAAATAGCCTGTCACTTAGAACATTGAAATACTTCTCCCCCCCAAAAAGCGTTGGAAAAATCATGAATCAAGGCCTTGTCTTGATATTTATGACTTACTTGGTTGTTTGCACCTTCAGTCTGTGGTGGCGGTGGTGCTAAGCTTGATGATGCTGGCTTGTAGTTCCTCTCCCATTTGGCATGTGTAAGGCTTTTGGCCTTGTCAATCCACTCTTGTTCCCAACTAGCCTTTGAGACATGAGCCAGCTCTTGCTTGAGCATTTCAAGCTCCTCATCAGTCTCCAACTCCCCATCATCACTTTTGGCATCAGATGTTGTTTCTTTAGACTTCAGCTTGCAGCTAAACTGCAATATATTGCCTGTTGAATAGTACCATATATTAGATGATAATGAGTTTACACTCAATTAAAACTCACTTTGACAACAAGATTGGGGATGTGTGCAAAGCATTGCACACGGCTCTTTGCACCCTCAAAGCCGGGAGGCCTCCTCAATCATTGTTTCATTATTGGAGGCATTGATGGCTGCAAAACCAAGGATCTATAGTGTTAACCGTCAGTCACATACTAAAGTAGCAGTTGGATACCTTATCATGTATGCCATACCCCCTGAGGCATTTGGTGATTTGGGCAACAAGGGCCTTTGTTGCTCTGTCAATAGAAACACCCAATGGACCCTTTGAATGGAGGCTGACAACCAAGGGGTCTTGGGCTTCAAATTCCTGACCAGGGGTTAGGTAGGTAACCCCCCCCCTGCTGGAGGCTAGAATTTTTTTACACCCCCCCAGTAAATAGTTTTATTTTAGCTGATTTTGTAGATTGTAGCGGTGCAATTTAATACTATGAATGTCTGGCTATTGTACCGACTACTCAGGCACCCAATAGACACCCATATATAGCCTGTAGATCACCTAGGCACATTTTTGGACCATTGACAGGGACCCAATGCCCAATTTGGTAGGTGGCAGAGCACTGATCAATTCAAAATTATCATTGTTGGTTTGGTATGTGGGTGTAATCTGTAGTCTATCTGTAGTCTATCTGGTATGGAGGGTTATACACTAGAGGTGAGTAGATAGGGAAGAGAAAATCAAATAATAATATTGATTTTGGTACAGGATTTACAGTATAGTGCTACAGAACTGTCTGTAATCTGCCCACACTGCAAACAATGGAAACTCCTTGGTAAAGGAGGCATACAAAACTTTGAGGTCCACCACTATTTATCCCCTATCTGTAAGAAGAAGCGGACTGCTCTTAACCTTGATAACCCTAG